GAAATCAGCAAAAACCGAACACGAAGTTGCAGAAAAAAATAAAAGGTTCACTCCAGAGGAGAGCGTCCATGCCGAACACAGAAAAAGGAAAATACGAGGAGAGAAAAAATGCCGGAGAAGCACCAGGCATCCGGTCCCCAAAAGTAGCGCCAGAAATGAAGACTTAAAGACCGTGCACTTGCAGCCACTTCTCTCCCCTCCCCCCTCCCCTCTGTCTTTCCCATCCTCCACACCTGCTCCCCTGTCCCCTTGCCACCCTGCCGGGATCTCCCCCCCCTCCCACCTGCCGGATCTCCCCTCCCCCTCACACCCTGCCGGGATCTCCCCTCCCCCTCACACCCTGCCGGATCTCCCCCTCCCCCTCACACCCTGCCGGGATCTCCCCTCCCCCTCACACCCTGCCGGGATCTCCCCTCCCCCTCACACCCTGCCAGGGATCTTCCCCTCCCCCTCACACCCTGCCGGGATCTCCCCCTCCCCCTCCCACCCTGCCGGGATCTCCCCCTCCCCCTCACACCCTGCCGGGATCTCCCCCTCCCCCTCACCCCTGCCGGATCCTCCCCCCACCCCCTCACCCCCTACCAGGAATCTCCCCTCCGCCCGCTCACCCTGCCGGATCGCCCCTGCCGCCTGAAACACCCTGCCGGGATGATCCCCATCCCCTCACCCCCTGCCGCGATCTTCCTCGTCCGCCCTCACACACTGCCGGGATTCTCCCCCCCCTCACAACCCTGCCGGGATCTCCCCCACACCCCTCAACCCCTGCCGCGATCTCCCCTTCCGCCCTTAAACCATACCGTGAATCTCACCTCCGCCCGCCCACCCTGCCCATGCCCCTGGCCGCCTGACTCACACCTTGCCCGAGTATGCAAATGTCTGCCTCCACCGCCTTCCCGCCTGCGTCTCTGATCGACACGCCGCGCACCTGGGCATTATGGGTAATATTCGGCGGTTTTATCCTTCGCTAATTCACGTTTAGGGTGTCATTAGATTAAGGATGGCTCTTTCGCTCCTCCGCCTCCTCCTCCTCCTCCTTAGAATCCTTCCTCCTCTGCTCCTCCTCCCTCCTACTCTCACCCTCCCCCTCTTCCGCCTTCTGCTCCCTCCCTCCCTCCCTCCCTACTGTACCTTTCTTCCTCCTTCCCTAGTCTCCCCCTCCTCCTCCTCCTTCCCTCCCTCCCTCCCTACTCTCCCCTTTCTTTTCCATCTCTCCTCCCCTCCTCCTCCTCCTCTTCCTTCCCCTCCTCCTCCCTATTCCTTCCCCTCCTCCTCCCTATTCCTCCTCCTCCCTCCCTCTTTACTCTCCCCTTCCTTTTCCATCTCCTCCCCCTCCTCCTCCTCCTCCCTATTCCTTCCCCTCCTCCTCCCTATTCCTCCTCCCTCCTTCCCTATTCTCCCCCTCCTTTTCCACCTCCTCCTCCTCCTCCTCCTCCTCCTCCCTCCCTCCCTATTCTCCCCCTCCTTTTCCACCTCCTCCCCTCCTCCTCCTCCTCCCCTCCTCCTCCTCCTCCCCTCCTCCTCCTCCTCCTCCCTCCTCCTCCTCCTCCTCCTCCTCCCTCCCTCCCTATTCTCCCCCTCCTTTTCCACCTCCTCCCCTCCTCCTCCTCCTCCTCCTCCCTCCCTCCCTATTCTCCCCCTCCTTTTCCACCTCCTCCCCTCCTCCTCCTCCTCCCCCTCCTCCTCCTCCTCCCCCTCCTCCTCCTCCTCCTCCTCCTCCCTCCCTCCCTATTCTCCCCCTCCTTTTCCACCTCCTCCCCTCCTCCTCCTCCTCCTCCTCCTCCTCCTCCCTCCCTCCCTATTCTCCCCCTCCTTTTCCACATCCTCCCCTCCTCCTCCTCCTCCTCCTCCCTATTCCTTCCCCTCCTCCTCCCTATTCCTCCTCCCTCCTTCCCTATTCTCCCCCTCCTTTTCCACCTCCTCCCCTCCTCCTCCTCCTCCTCCTCCTCTTCCTTCCCCTCCTCCTGGATGGAACGTCAATTGACTCGTTAAAAAGCGGAGAGGTAACACAAGCTCGTGCGGGGGTGAAGGGAAAGGTGGGTAGGTGGGTGGGTGGGTGGGGGAAGGAGGTAGTGGGAAGAAAAGGGGGAGAGAAAGAAAGGAAGGAAGAAAATGACATGAAAAGGGGGAAAGAAAGAAAGAAAGAAAGAAAGACAAGAAAATGGAGAGAAAAAGACAGAAAGAAAGGGGAAAAATATTATATGAAAAAAGGGAAAGAAAGAAAAAAAAGACAAGAAAAGGGAAAAAGAAAGAAAAAAAATGAGAAGAAAAGGGGGAGAGAAAGAAATAAACAAAGATTACAGAGAGAGAGAAAAAGAGAAAATAACTCACGTTGACGCATTAAAATCAGAAACGAAATTAAATCAAAACACGAAAGAAAAGTAAAAAAAAGAAAGAAAAAAAAACTCACCTCGACCATTTCGAAGCCAAGACAAGACAAAGAAAGAAACAACAGCGGAGATTAAAACAAACAGACAAACAAACAAACAAACAAACAGCTCACCTTCGAATGCCACGGACACGATGAGACTTAGAATGCACACGTTGCCTGTACTCAACATCTTGGTTGTCATGCCGTCGGTTCTTTGTTCCCTCTTCGTATTCCTCCTCTGTTCTCTCTCTCTCTCTCTCTTCCCGTTTTCGCTCGCTGCCTTTCCCCAAATCCTGTTCCCTTACTCCACCGAAGCACTTTGACCACCTGCCATGTGTCCCTCCGTCCCCAGGGGTCAAAGGTCAAGTCTCGCTTGCTCTAAACTGCTGGTATGACCTTTTCATGGCGCTATACACGTACACATAAAAATATATATATATTTTTTTTCTTTCTAACTAACACAACACATATCACATTCACATTGATTTTATTACGAAGCTGCAGAGAAAGATTAAAAAAAAAATTAGAAACGCGTTCATAGAGAGTAAATTTAAGGAAAAATCGTATAAAGTGACAAACGGAAAGAAAGTAAATTTAAGGAAAAATCGTATCAAGTGACAAACAACACATCTGCAAAACCAACCAACACGATAAAGCTTCAATTCGCGGCGCCAAAGCAGAGGCAACAACGCCAATTATGCATCACCGCTCGTGTCTGGTTGCGTAAGTGTGCGCTGGCTGCTAGTTAGGGCTTCGGCGCTAAGTGGACCGAAATCTTCAAAGGCTGGTAATTGATATACGTGAGAAACGAGATATTCTTATATACACGGTGCAGAGCCAGAGTGATATACGTGAAAGAACACATACCTATCAATCTATCTATTTACACACACACACACACATGTGCATGTATATCTACATATATAAATATAAATACGTTTATGTTTATATTTATGTATATATATAAAGATATATCTATATCTATCTATCTATCTATATATAATGTATGTACATGTTTCCGTATGTATTTATGTAAATGTGATATATACATACATACATACATACATACATACATATATATATATATATATATATATATATATATATACATATACATATATATATATATATATATATATATATATATATATATATACATATATATATATATATATATATATATATATATATATATATATATATATATATATATATATATATATACATACATACACACACACACACACACACACACACACACACACACACACAAATATGTATATATATATATATATATATATATATATATATATATATATATATATATATAAAAACACACACACACACACACACACACACACACATATATATATATAATGTTTATATGTAATATGTATGTGTGTGTGTGTGTGTGTGTGTGTGTGTGTGTGTGTGTGTGTGTGTGTGTGTGTGTGTGTGTGTGTGTGTGTGCGTGCGCATACTGAAACAGAGAGAAAACATCGAAACAGCAGGATGGGCGCGCGACCCCGAGGGCGGGCGTGGTCATGCACCCGCCATGCACCGCCTCCCCCCCCTAACCTTTCTTGCTCGATCACGATGCCCACCTGTCGCCCGTCCGCCCACTCCGCCCGCGTTTACGGATCTCCTGACATTTAAAGTGAAGGCGAGAGCCGCTAATGATATTTGTGGTATGGGAAACCTTAGATATCAAATACGAATGTAAACCTGTGTAATATTTGTCAAATAAAGGCAGCAGTTGTAGGACAGACACGGGACTTCATGTTGACTTTCTTTCTCTCTGTCTCTCTCTCTCTTTATCTTGCGCACGCGCGTGTATATGTGTGTGTGTTTGTATATGCATGTATATGTATGCATGTATGTATTCATTTACATATACACACACACACACACACACACCCGCACGCGCGCACGCACACACACACACACACACACACACACACACACACACACACACACACACACACACACACACACACACACACACATCTATCTATCTATCTATATATATATATACGGTCGAAAGGTGTATACATGCATAAGGCGAAGAGGCAGAGAAGTCAAGAGGCAGGAACCAAGATACAAACTGTAACCCTGCGCCCCCCTCCCCCCCCTCGCCCGAAAGGTGAAGACGGCCTCGGGCGCGCATGCGCAGTATCCAACGGGGCATTTCTCGGCCTGCTCTGGACTTCCCTTCATCCCACTTTTTTTTACTTATTTTTTTTTTACACTTAACGAAACAAGATTTGATTCTATCTCGCTCTAACATTTCACACCAAAATATAAACATGGGTTGATAATCAAACTTTAAAATAACAAAATAAATATAACACTTAAAATTATTATATTAATCAACTGGTAAGTTGCCTTATTTTATCACTTGCTTAATTGCACTGTGCATCATTGTTGCGTCATCGACTTAAATTGCTCAGGTGCAGCAGCTGCCAAAAGTTTTTATTATTCTTATTACCTTCTTTATTATGCTAGTTTTATTATGACATTTATGTGACTCTTTCTTCATACCTTATTATAATCATTTCCTTTTCTGTCTTTTATTTATTTTTTATTTTTTTTACTCCGTGATTACCTAACCGATATTTTTTTCTCTCTCTTTTTTTTTAAAGCAGTTCGTGATAGAATCATTTTCCTTCGTTTTCTTTTAGGATTTTTTCCCCTCTTTTGTTAGGCTAAGTCATTCACCTTAATATTTTTTTTTTTAATCTCCACATTTCTTTCTTTCTCTTCTCATTCTGTGCCTTTCATTTTTTTTATCATCTCTAATTTCCTTCTACGTTGGTCATTAACCCCCACTTTCTATCTATACATTTTTTCTCAATTTCTTTACATAACGTTTCACTCAAATATTTCCTCCTCTATTAATCTAATCCCCTTAACAATACCACACAATAAAAACAACCACCACATCAAACGACACGACAAACAACAATCTCAAATGACAATTCTTCGGCGTAAAAAGAATTGAATAATAAAAAAAAACGTGCAATTAATTAAAAAAAAGGCCTATTAATTTCTCCTAAATGGTTCCCCGACATCCCATTCGCCATGCTACGTATCCGTCGCACACGCCCTGCCAAGTATAGGTTTCTTTTTGCACTCTCTTCAAACGCAATTTTCCATACCTCGCTTCTTATACCCTCCCCCCCCCTCTACTCCATTTCCTATTTGTAGTAACAACCCATTAACTCTTCCCCCCTCCCTTCTTTCTTTCCCTCCTTCTCTCTCTCTCTTTCTTTCTCTCGTTACATCTCTCTTCTCTCTCGTTCTCTCTCTATCTCTCTATTTCTCTCTCGTTCCCTCCTCCCACCCGCTACCCCTCCACCTCTCTCTCTCTTTCTCTCTCGTTCCCTCCCCCTCTCCCCCCCCCTCTCTCTCATTCCCTCCCCCCACCCCCTCCAACTCTATCTCTCTCTCGTCCCCCCCCCCCCTCCTCCACCCTCACCTCTCTTTCTTCGTGTCACTCCCAATAATGCTGAGGAGGAGACTGAAAAGAAATGGCTTTTGCGTTTGGCTTGGCAGGTGACCCAAATCTAATCGAGTGAAGAGTAATTGTTTGCTCCTTTTTAGTTATGTGTGGGTGGGGGGAGGGGAGAGGAGTGTGTGTGTGTGTGAGGGAGAGGAGTGTGTGTGTGTGAGGGAGAGGAGTGTGTGTGCGTGTGTGTGTGAGGGAGAGGAATATGTGTGCGTGTGAGGGAGAGGAGTGTGTGTGTGTTTGTGTGAGAGAGTGAGAGTAAGAGTAAGAGTGAGTGAATGAGTGTGTGCGTGTGTGTGTGTGTGTGTGTGTGTGTGTGTGTGTGTGTGTGTGTGTGTGTGTGTGAGTGTGAGTGTGTGAGTGTGTGAGTGGTGAGTGAGTGTGTGAGTGAGTGTGTGAGTGAGTGAGTGTGTGAGTGAGTGAGTGAGTGAGTGAGTGAGAGTGAGTGAGTGAGAGTGAGAGTGAGAGTAAGTGAGAATGAGAGTGAGCGTGAGAGTATGAGTAAGAGTATGAGTGAGAGTGAAAGTGTGTGTGTGCGCGCGCGTGCGTGCGTGCCAAACCTCTCGTGGGGAAATGTGGTGTGTCAGCTGATCGCCGCCACAGCTGATCTGTACCCGGCTTGTTTACTTGCATACGTACACAGATAAGCGCACAAATGTATACGTACGGAGAAAAAAACTGCGAGAAGAGAGGGGGTGAAGAATGTAGGAAAGGAGAGAGAGAGAGAGAGAGAGAGAGAGAGAGAGAGAGAGAGAGAGAGAGAGAGAGAGAGAGAGAGAGAGAGAGAGAGAGAGAGAGAGAGAGTATACGTACGGAGAAAAAAAAAACTGCGAGAAGAGAGAGGGTGAAGAATGTCATAAAAGAGAGAGAGAGAGAGAGAGAGAGAGAGAGAGAGAGAGAGAGAGAGAGAGAGAGAGAGAGAGAGAGAGAGAGAGAGAGAGTATACGTACGGAGAAAAAAACTGCGAGAAGAGAGAGGGTGAAGAATGTCATAAAAGAGAGAGAGAGAGAGAGAGAGAGAGAGAGAGAGAGAGAGAGAGAGAGAGAGAGAGAGAGAGAGAGAGAGAGAGAGAGAGAGAGAGAGAGAGAAAGTCATAGAAAAGAAATAAAACGTAGAGTGGGTGAAAAGAAGAGGCAGAAACCTAAGCCCAAAAGTTTTAAAAATATTTAGACAATCCGATATACAAACAACAGACACCCGCCCACATGGAACACATCCATCACCCGACTTAAAACAATGCAATAAACTACACCAACAACCACTAACTTATCCCCCCACGGAATCCATAATTACCAACAACCTACGATACCATTACCAACACAACCATTAACCGCCGCCAGTAAACCAAAAAAAGAGCAGTTTTTGATATTACAATTAAAATCAACCAACGAGCACGTGAGGTTATCATTCAAGCCATCAGAGTGCTTGTCTCCTGACTCAGCGCCGCCAACCGCGACTCTTCACTTCCCTTGAGTTTGTTGGTGGTACTGTTTTTGTTTAATATTTCAGACTCCTTTTTTTTACTGCAATATTTTACCATAGTGCTATATGATCTTTGATTTCTTGTACATTTATTTGTTTAATAAATGTATTATTATCGGTATGTTGTTCTTAGAAACAGTAC